AATAGTGAACTCAATTCATAGCTATATATCATATATAGTGTACTATATTTGGTTGAACTGATCCAACAGTCAATAGATCACTAATCACCACAAGAATGGCAAAGACGGCGGCGATCGGGATCGACTTGGGGACGACGTACTCGTGTGTGGGTGTGTTTCAGCATGGTAAGGTCGAGATCATAGCGAATGACCAGGGCAATCGGACAACGCCATCATACGTCGCGTTCACAGACACAGAGCGCCTGATAGGAGACGCGGCGAAGAATCAGGTCGCTATGAATCCCTCGAATACAGTCTTTGACGCCAAGAGACTCATTGGGCGGCGCTTTGAAGACGCGTCGGTTCAGTCAGATATGAAGCACTGGCCCTTCGATGTCGTCTCCGATTCCGGCAAACCTAAGATCCGCGTCGACTATAAGGGAGAGTCGAAGTCCTTCTTTCCCGAAGAGATCTCGTCGATGGTGTTGGTGAAGATGAAAGAGATCGCGGAGGCATACCTGGGCGGACAGGTGTCGAATGCTGTGGTGACAGTTCCGGCCTATTTCAACGACAGTCAGCGTCAGGCGACCAAAGACGCCGGAACTATCAGTGGTCTCAATGTCCTGAGGATTATCAATGAGCCGACGGCGGCCGCCATTGCGTACGGACTCGACAAGAAGGGTCAGGGAGAGCGCAATGTCCTCATCTTCGACTTGGGCGGCGGTACGTTCGACGTGTCGATCCTCACCATCGAAGACGGCATCTTCGAAGTGAAGTCGACGGCCGGAGACACCCATTTGGGAGGCGAGGACTTCGACAACCGAATGGTCAACCATTTCGTACAGGAGTTCAAACGCAAGCACAAGAAGGATCTGGCGGTGAATAAGCGAGCGCTGCGTCGGCTGAGGACGTCCTGCGAGCGCGCGAAGAGGACGCTCTCGTCCTCCACTCAGGCGTCCATCGAAATCGACTCACTCTTCGAGGGCATCGACTTCTACTCGACGGTCACGAGAGCGCGCTTCGAAGAGCTGAACGCAGACCTGTTTCGCTCGACTCTGGATCCGGTGGAGAAGTCGTTGAGGGACGCCAAGCTCGACAAGGCTCAGGTGCACGACATCGTACTGGTCGGGGGGTCGACACGGATTCCCAAAATCCAGAAACTGCTTCAGGACTTCTTCAACGGCAAGGAACTCAACAAAAGCATTAATCCCGACGAAGCCGTCGCATACGGGGCCGCAGTTCAGGCGGCGATCCTGAACGGCGACAAGAGTGAGGCCGTGCAGGACCTCCTACTGCTCGACGTGACCCCCCTGTCGCTGGGCATTGAGACTGCGGGCGGAGTGATGACCACTCTTATCAAACGCAACACAACGATACCGACCCGTCAGACGCAGACATTCACGACGTATTCAGACAATCAGCCGGGAGTTCTGATTCAGGTGTATGAGGGCGAGCGAGCCATGACTAAAGACAACAACCTTTTGGGCAAATTCGAGTTGACTG